AGATTTGAACAGCACACAGATCCATCTATCTCGTTACTATGATCTGGAAATTGAGCAAGAGAAATTCTGTGACCTACTTTATAGCTTTCAAACAATGGATAGTAACTGGACAGTTTCTTTGTGCAGCATTTGCTTCCTCTCATCAAAACTTTTCTGAGTATTAAGGTGTTGTCCGGGGACATTTTTATCTGTGTGACTCCCTTTGCTCTTTCTGTCACCATAGAAATAGTCCATTTAATAATTTTTCAGTTTTAGGTAAGTTGTAAATGTTTTGGGGTTTGTTTATTTGGGTGTTGTTGGGGTTTTTTTTGTTTTTTTTTTTTCCTGCTAAGGCATCTTTGGGCCTAGGGAGCTTCACAAAGTTTGTAGAGTTTAAGACAGTCCCCAAAACTCAGTTGTTTGTCATGAACCTTGAGAACTATGACCAGGACACAGAAGAACATGCAAACGTGTAAGGAAACCAGTTGTTGGAAACTGGAGATGAGGCTTCCTTTTTCTCAAGTACATGAAGTGGAAGGCACTGCTATGACTGCAGGCTGGACAGGCCCACTTGAATCAGCAGCATCTACTGCAAAACCCACCTTGGAAGTCCCTCTGAGTATTTACATGGCAAAACCACACAAGTCTTATGATTGCTGCAGTATCACTACTGCTGGTTCTTACGACAGCTAGTTTAAAGTAACTTGAGAAAGCTTTCACCCTACAGTATTCGTAGGAGTATTTTCTGTGTAAGCTGGATGTCCTACAGAGAAGATCAGTAGACTGTGGAGATACAAAATCAAGACCAAGGACCGTAACAACTGAGGTAAACTTCCACAATGGGTTATTAAGTACAATTATTGATGACAGATTGTACTGGTTACAGTGTGTATACTAACCTGTGTTTTGGGCAGACATCTTTCTCAAGGCTTTGGTTTGGGGGCCTGTGGGTGAACAGCATCTTCCCACGGGGTTCTCAACACAGCACGAGGCTTTACAGATTAAAAGCAGAATGTTTTATACATGACATCTGCGTGCACTGCTCCTCAAAAGCAAGCTACATGGAGGGACTCGAAAACAAGCAACCTTCCACCATAAATTCCCCTCTCCCGGTCTCCTGTCCCTGCCACCTTTAATAGCGCTGTCTACCGACACGTCGGCTTTGGTCATCTTGCCATAACAAAAGCGAGCACGCCGGTCTGTGTCATACGTGGGCTTTCAGCCGCTAATTAACATGAGGCAGCCATGGGAGTTTCTGAGAAGCTGAGCTCTGATGTAACCCAATGCCATCCACTTGAAGCTTTTAGACGCTCCAGCCATACATAATTTATTTTCACCGGTCACATGGCAGTAAAGCTCATTTTGCATAATGGGTACTTGCAGTGGAAAAGTGCTTACAGGGTTTCAGTGGAGCAGACAGCCCTTTCATCTATCCGTATCAAAGAGAAATTAAACAATTACGGGAGTTTACAGCATTCTTGCAGAAAACTCGGAAAATAATGTTTTAAAGGCGTGCAAAACCCTACTCAGACAGCACTTCGGCCATTGCAATGTGCTGCGATTGTTCATGCACGCCCCTGTCCGGCGTCTTTGTATCTCCCGGTTTACACACCGCTCATTTCCTCACCTGCCGATCCGATAACATTCACGCCTGGCCACGGAGGGCTCGGCGCCGGCATCGGCTGCGTGGCGGGGAGCCAGACCCCACGCGTGACCGGCCGCGCAGGACGCACGCCGCCTAG